CTCCCTCCCCCCCACCGGTCCCTGAGCCTGAACAATGCCCTCCCCAGGCCCCAAAATAGCCCCTGAGCCTGGCCAATGCCCTTTTATGGCCCTGTCCCTATTGTGCACTGCAGGGGTGGGGCTGGGGGCATGAGGTGCCCAGGCAGGATAAAGGCCAGGGGCCCGAGGCTCCCCTGCCCTGCCCTGCCCTCTGCTTCCTCTCTCCAGGTCCCTCTCTGTGCTTACAGCCCCATGGCCCCCAAAAAGCCAGAGCCCAAGAAGGAAGAGGCCAAGGCAGCCCCCAAGGCGGCTCCAGCTCCCGCTGCCCCTGCGCCTGAGCCCCCCAAGGAGAGCGAATTTGATGCCTCCAAGATCAAGGTGGGTGTGGGAGCTGGGTTTCGGCGGGCTGGAAGGGCAGGGCAGGTAAGTGGACCCCAGAGTGGACCCACCCAGAGACAGACCAGGTTCCAGAAAGCAGGCAGTGAGCTGATGCTGGAAGCTTCCGTGCAGAGGTCACTCCTGCAGCGGGAGGGATGGCGGGCAGCCATCAGCAGGACCCCCTCAGTGCTGCCGAAGGGAATGTCTTTTTGGTGGTTTTGGAACCTGACGGTTCCTTGCCCTTCTCCCTGGACCCCACTCACATCCTTGGGGGATCCTGGAGCCGCCTGACCCCAACTTTACAGCCAGGCAGGGATCTTCCTTGTCCAGCTATGGGGTCTCAAGTCCATGCCAAGTCCCCTAAGGAAGACAGGGTGTGGAACTGGGGGACGCGAGGCCCCTGCCCAGGCTGGGCCATGCTCACCCCTGCCAAGGTGCCTGAGCCCCAGAGCTGGGAGGGCCTCAGCTTTGAGGTGGGGAAATTAAGGCACAGGCTGGGTAGGTCATGCAGGAAGCTGGTCTCAAGCTGTGACCCATGGTCCCAGGAGCCCTTCTCTAGCTAGGAGTCTTTCTCAGAGTCTAAACTTGGAGGAGCAGCCGTGACTCCCACCTGTGGCATCTGCATAGCGTCACGCACCCAGCATCCTGCCTGTTCCCTGTTCTTGGCTGGCTCCCAGCCACTGAGCCAAGCTGCTGGCTGAGGCGGAGCCCTCCCAGTCCCTCTGCACAGATTCAACTCCTGTTTGAGGGCACCTCCTGGAGGTGCCTACCATGTCCCTCGAGACACGGGTTCGAATCCCTTCCCTGCTCCGAGGCTTAGCTTTTTCAGCTCTGGACCGGGCAGCAGCCCTTCTCGAAGGCTGTCAGGAACCTTTCACAGCTAGTGCACCCTGGAGTTGGCTGCCTGACCTCCAACCACCCCTTAAGCCTCAGCCTTGTGTCCCACAGGCCCCCTGGTGAGGGTCCAGCCACTCTGGATCCATGGTGCCATTGTCCAGTATCACCAGATCTGAGGTTGGCACACACACCTCTCCAAGAGTGGGGAACAGTGAGACCCCCTCATGTGCCCTCACCCCTCCCCCTCAGGCCGGCTGGTGAAGTGGGGGAGGTTTTGCCAGGAGCCCAGGAACTTCAGGTCAGCAGGCTTCCTGGTGGGGAGAGAGCCATGGGGCCAGGGGGTCTCCATGCAGGGTGGCAGAGGAAGGGTGTCCCTCTCACTGGTGTGCACTATGGAGATTGGTGGGGTCCCCCGAGGGAGCAGCAGTGGGAGAGGTGCCAGTTATGTTCCCCTCCCCCAAGCTCCATCCTGCGACCTTGACCTTGGGGCCAGTGACTGCAGTGATAAAAATAGAACTGGTATGGGTGAGGAGGGGGAGACCAGGAGGAGACCAGGTCACAGGAGGCCTTCTGACCTCAGGTCGCCTCAGCAGCACCGCCCTGGCTCCTGCTGGTGGGGGCTGCCCTCCCCTCATGGATGGGAGTGTGCAAGACCCAGGGGTAGGCAGGGCCATGTGAGCGACAGTGCCCAGCCCCGAGGGCTCTGTGAGGAGCAGAACCATGCACACACATGTGTGTGAATGCACATGAATGCATGCATGTACATCACACACACACACACACACACACACACCCTGTTGAGATCAGCCCCCATCTCACTCATGTGGCCAGTCGTGCCCACTAGGAAGGAGGGTGTCAAGGTGGACGGCAGGAGGTCCTGGGCAATGGAAGCTGGAATGCTGGAATGGCGACAGGTTGGGACAGTTGAGGGGTTGAGGCACTCAGCATCTTTGGGGTCTCCTTTCAGATTGAGTTCACCCCGGAGCAGATTGAAGGTGAGTGAGGGTCTTGACCTTGGGGGCTGCCGGGTTTGGCCTGGGGTCCCCAGTCTGAGCGTCCTATCAGGGGGTGTGGGTGGGTGGGGTGGGCTCCCTCTGGGAGTGTCCACAGCTCATGGCCTTTCCCGGCAGAGTTCAAGGAAGCCTTCATGCTATTCGACCGCACCCCCAAGTGTGAGATGAAGATCACGTACGGACAGTGTGGGGACGTCCTTCGGGCGCTGGGCCAGAACCCCACCCAGGCCGAGGTGCTCCGAGTCCTGGGGAAGCCAAAGCAGGAAGGTCAGACACCCAGCCTGAGATCCCCCCATTAGTGCCAGTTCCCCGGGAGACCACCAGGGTGGGCTGCCGTCTGCGGTGGGACAACACGGGAACCTCTCTGCTGTGCACTGTCCCCCCATTGTCTGGATGAGCACACTGAGGCTGGTCTCAGGGGGTGGTGACAAGGTGACTAGCAGTGCTGGTTTGCTGTCCCCTCTGGCCCCATGCTGATGCGCCAGACCTCCCGGTCACGGGGGACTGATGACAGTGCAGACTAGCTTCAGTGGCTGGTGTGAGGGCCGACCAGGGGCTCTCCCTGCCCCTCCTTGCCCCCTTGGTATCTCTCTCTGTGGGTCAGGGCCAGTTTCCCTTGCCACACTGGCCAGAGAGGGTTGACTGCTTTGCCCCAGGAGGAGTGGTTGAAAAGTCCCAGGGAAGGCCTCTAGTGGCAAGAGGGTGGGGTCTGTAAGAAGATGACTCTAGCAAGGAGTATGTCCCGAAGGAGAAGAGGTGCTAGACGGAGTCCGTGGGGTGCCACCACAGCGCACTCTCCTTGAGAACAGCGAAGGCTGCGTAAAGGACGGTGTCTGGGCCCATGTGAAGCGCCTGGTGATGGCGCGGAGCTTTGTGAATGGCAGACAGGTTTACAGGGCTTGGGTGCAGAGTGTGGGGGCCATCGCTCCTCACAGGAGGGCCCAGGGGAAGGGTCTGCTGGGACTTGGGGCCATCTCTCCACAGAGCTCAACACTAAGATGATGGATTTTGAGACGTTCCTGCCCATGCTCCAACATATTGCCAAGAACAAGGACACGGGCACCTACGAGGACTTTGTCGAGGGCCTGCGCGTCTTCGACAAGGAGGGCAATGGCACGGTCATGGGCGCCGAGCTCCGTCATGTGCTGGCCACGCTGGGTGAGGGCAGCCTCCCTCCACCCCACTCCTCCTTGGGGGGTGGGGCCATCCTAGGAGAAACCACTTTGTCGCCCTCCCCCAGGCCTGTGTCTCAACGGAAATGGAGAGTGACACAGTCACAGCCCCTGTGTGGCACGTAACAGAAGTGTGGGGGATTTAGATTTAGGTGGGGAGTAAAGGAAGTGTGTTGGTGCACCTCCCAGAACCGAAGGGAGATGGGAACAGCCCTGGGCTCGGGGTGGGGCAAAGCGGAGTATCCAGGAGGATCAACTCCGTCCTGAGGCTCATCGCCTCAAGGTCAAGATCCTGAGCCACGTCATCTGAGTGGCCGAGTAGGTCACGTGCCTGCCTTGACCCCCAATGTCAGGTGCCTGGCTGTCCCCTTCTAAAAGAGACTTTTTCCTTCAGTAAATGTTTATTGAGCACCTATTGTGTGCTCAGACCTGTGCTGGTCTCTAGGGTTCTGTGTGTGTGTGTGTGTGTGTGTGTGTGTGTGTGTGTGGCTGGGCAGGGGGAGAACCTGCAGTTGAAATTCCAGTGGGGGGACCAGCCCAGCACACACAAAAGCACAGACAGGAAAGTGCATGACTTGCCCTTTTGAGGACAGAGGAAGGGATGCACTGGTGACTTGAGGACCAAGATGGCACCGTTATGGACAGACCTCAGGCTCGAAGGGGCACTAGGCCCTGCCCTTTTTGACTTGTCACTGATTCTCCTGGTCTCAGAAATGAGGGTTATGGTGAAGGCCTTGTGAGCCATGACGGCCGTGCCAACACAAGGTGTGAGGATACTGGGGAGACAAAGCCACAGTGCAGAGGGGCCTGGTGTGGCCCACCCTTAGCATCTCTGGCCGGTGCTCACTCGGCCTCCCGCCCCGCCAGGTGAGAGGCTGACGGAAGACGAGGTGGAGAAATTGATGGCTGGGCAAGAGGACTCCAACGGCTGCATCAACTACGAAGGTGGGCTCAGAGGGCAGGAGGTCCTCTCGGGGGGCTGGGGACCCTAGGCTCTCACTCTTGGCTGCCGGAGGCCGAACCCCTGCAACTCACCCTCCTCTCCTTTCCAGCATTTGTGAAGCACATCATGGCCAGCTGAACCTCTCACCCCAGGCGAGACCCCACCCCCTTCCAGACCTGCTGCCACCTCTGCCACCTCTGCTCGCCTCAGCCTGCTGTCCCCCTCATGCCTCTGTCATCCGAATCCCTGCTCCCACCTCCCCGTCTTCACCAACTCCTGCTGCCTCACCTGACTCCCTTCACCGTAACCTGTGACCCCTTTGCTCTCAGGGAGCCCGGGGGAGGCCACGCTGGGGACTGCTGGTGATGTTGACACCAGTGGCCTGGAGTTGTGGGAAGGAGGGGAGCGCAGGGAGACTCCTGCACCAGCTCTCTCTGCGCGCCCGGCAGACCTCTCTGCATGGCTGTCATCTCCTGCCCCAGGCTGCATGTACCTGTGACTGCATCTCTGTCCCTGCCCCCTGGGCCCATGAATAAATGCCTCC